TCTCTCTCTCTCTCTCTCTCTCTCTCTCTCTCTCTCTCTCTCTCTCTCTCTCTCTCTCTCTCTCTCTCTCTCTCTCTCTCTCTCTCTCTCTCTCTCTCTCTCTCTCTCTCTCTCTCTCTCTCTCTCTCTCTCTCTCTCTCTCTCTCTCTCTTCCCCTCCTCCCTCTCTCTCTCTCTTTTTCCGGGGACCGATGATATCGCGACAACTGGATACTCGCGGCGCAAATTGTCACGAACGCGCAGAGAGGCGGAGAGGAATCCTCTTATCGCGTTCGTCGAGTCTGTTTGTCAACGACGATTTTTCACCGATGAACGGGACGCGTCGCACCCGATCGCCCCGCGTCTGACCTCGAATATGGCGGTGGTTCGCGCAGCCACGGGAAGACAGATCCGCATAGACTAGCCGGATTAACTATATGTCTCTCTATCGATCGTATCGTAGCGTAGTTTTCACACGATTAAAATTACAACAGCGTTTTCACGGCGCTCCGTTGTAATGTGAGCGCGTACGATCGATCGATCTTACAAAAGGGATGCGTGTGTCCGGAAAAATTAATTAAGACTGATATATATGTGATCATGACCCTAGATTTACCCGCTCATTCCTCTTTCCGTGAATGATCTTTACAATCCACGTAGAAAGCTGAGATATTTTTTTCTGTTGACGACTTTCTGAACGATTTGATAAAATATGTTTCTTAAGCCTACTTTGCATGATTTATAATTCTCGGAATTCTCGGATTTGAAGATAAAAAATTTGAAATATCTTCATTTACAATTTTTTGAACTGTGTGTTTTGATATTTACGTGTATCTTAATTTCTTATTTTTACAATTGCGCATAAAATTGCAATAAATTGCTGTCTTAAATTTTAATACAAATTATAGACCGAAATGAATTTTAGAAACGGCTTCAGAAAACTTTTCTTAAAGAAAAGACTTACATGAAAAGAATCTTAATTTAAAAAATATACAATGATAAAAAATATTCAAAGAACGCAATAATGATATTAAAATAGTCGACACGCTGAATAAATTGTGCCAAAAGAATTAATCGAGCTACTTCATTACTACTCCTTCCAGGGAAGTAGCGTTTCAGAGTTATAATATTTTCACTGCAAAATCTGTCACAATTTAATCGGCCTTTAATTCGGCCGCTAATTAAAATAACGATGTTTTGTTATCGATGTTTTGTTTTCGCATTTCTAAGCAAAAAGCACAAGCTGCGACCGCGACAAGAGGGTTATATATCTTTAATGCGACCCTGTGGCTTATGTTTATGCGGCCCCTGGACTCGTGAGAGACATTTTATCAGGAGGCAGAGATACGGCTAACCCAATTAAAATGTTTAATCGACATCTCTCTTTCTCTCTTGCATCGCGTTATCATGCGTGTCGCCACAATAATACGATGACAAATTGGATCGGCACAGCGTAGCGGAAGAGTAAGATGGATTTCACGAAATCAACAGATAATAATGCGATACACATGTTTATACCAGCGACAGCTGCTATCCACGTGACACGCCCGTATGTATATATGTACGTCTCTCTAACAGCTGAATAATTATCAGACTCTCTAGTTTTTTTATTTTGACGAAGAAATAATCACATGGCTGAAGTCAAACAGCCGAGATCGCGCAACGTTCAAATCACCGTGTATTGATTTTACATTCGTAATTGCAAATGAATATGAGGGGATTTAAAAAAATTATCAAAGAAAAACCTATCAAATAGAAAATTTATATAATAAATCGAGAAAACACATTTTTTAGAAGCGGCAACACTCGCGTCGTTCAAATTTGTAGCGAAGATTTAGAAATTACATTCAAGAGTTAGTTCATTAATGCAGTTGTTTTGCCGACTTTATAATTCAATAAGAAATACAAGAAATTATTAGAATTATGATAACACAAGGATTAGTTCCCCTTAATTAAATGAAATATGCTGCTTTATTTTCCTCCATTCTAAATGAACACTGTGCACCTGGAATTTATCAGTCACGTGCTATGACTCTCGACCCTCGATTCTTTTCGTCGGGCAAACTCTCCATGGTAACTAAACTGGACAGCGAAACTTCACTTTCGAGCCCAACCCGGAAAGTCTAGATATATTCACGCTTTCAGTTTTACACGGATAACCTCGCTGTTGTAAAAAAAGAACTTGTGTTTTCGCGACAAATATCCAAAATGCTCAAGTTTCAACAACGCGCCACTCCGGAGGATCTCAAGATCGCCGCGTCTATAAAACGCAAACGACAACTCGAGGAAGCGAGAAAACTGCGCATCTTCAACCCTCGCGTTAGAAAAATTGGAGTAAGGAATCAATATCGTTTGTTAGACTTTTATATCTCATTTGGATCGAATCTATTTTAATTTTTAATCCGATTTATCAACTACTGGTATCCTTCTTTCAAATCAATTGAGAAAATATTAATTTAAAAAATGTACAAATATTAAATCTGCTTGTATAACCTATGCTTTAGTTTAAGTTGATCTCGCTTTATTTTGTTGCGTTCCTCAATATTCTTAACTCGTAAATTCCACAAATGTCACTCGATGAGATACGATGCGACATCTGATTGATCTAACGTCTGGGAAGTTGCCCACTTCAATGCCACATCGTTACAGGATTCGCGCGATTGTTTCCCTGACATTTGCAGATAGACAAGGCGTTCTTGGATAAGCAAGTCGAGGAGAAGAAGCGACAGCACGAGTGGGAACGGGCGAAAGAATGTCAATTGGACGAGGCTCTTATTCGCAGCAGCGAGCATGCCATGCATTTGGAGAGACGGCAGGAGGAGGTAAGTGCCGTCAATGCCGATAATTACGCGGGAATGTCCGCTCGGTACAGCTGGCAGCTCTCGACTCTCGATTTCGGTGTCACGTGCCTCGATTGAGAAATCCATGATCGGAAGGAATGATGTTACTTTCCTTATTCGCAGGAAAGGCGAAGGCTGAACAAGGAGGTCGAGTCCTTCCGACGAGTGCATCAGCGAGCGGAGGACCGTCGGGATTACGACCTGTATGACCCAGAAGCGCTGAAGAAATCGCTTCCAGCACGCGTGAATGACAATGGCGACGATCCGAGCTTGGGAGTCGCGTCCGCTCAGAAGTGCGTAAATAGCCTGATTAATACCGCCAGCAATAAGTGGTGCGATCGGAAGAAAAGTCCCGAAGAAGTTTATCTCGGGCTTCCAAGAAGACGAAGAGAGGAACGTGCGCGACGCTTATGAAGCTCATTATTCTTTTTCCTGCATTTCCAATAACTCCCCTTAATTTTTATTACGTAATATTAACACTAGAACAATCAACGTTGAACTAGTTTTATCATAGTCGACATAGTCAATTGAAAAAAAAAAAAAACGTTTTGGCTTTTGTTATTTTTAATTTCTTCAATACTTAAATAATTAACATAAATAGCTTTCAGCGGACGGACAATTGTGACATTTTCCTGAATAAAATGATGTAATAACGTTGATAATCCGCATTTCAAATTTGAAATCTGTCTCATTTGGACAAGTTTGGTCGTTTTAGTGTTAAAATGCCGAAATTAACTCGCGAAAGAAACTCGCTTTGGCAAATCGTGATTATCGTGCGTACGATATAACAAGGCTTTTACTCCTCACTCGCGTTGCAAAAGATCTTCGCGCGGATAATAATTTACCCCGCAGCCTGTTCACCCTGGCGCAATGGTAATGAGCGTAAACGCCGCGGAGGAGAGGAGGAACGATGAAATATTACGGCTGCGCAGGTTCGAGGGCGAGGATCGCAATCTTCCCGTGCGATTGAAGATGCAGAAAGAGCAGATGCGTTGGTGGATACAAAGGCAAAAGGAGGAGCGTGAGGCGGCTGAGAAGGCGCGACGGGATGCCGAGGAAGCCTATCAGGAAGTCGTCCTCTCCAGGGACAAGCGCGCCATGGCACTGGCGCGGATGGAGGAGGAATGCCGGCGAAGGTTGAATGAAGCCACGGCGACGTTTAATCGCGCTCTGGTACAGGATCCCTCTCTCTTTTTGCTCTCTTTGATCTAAGATCCGCGACGCGACAAAGGTGACGAGACCTCCATTCAATTTATTTAACAAATTAGGTAAAGTCAACCGTACGTATCTCCAAAATTTCGATTCTGGCTCCATTCTGAATTGGGCACGCAGCAACAGCTGCTGCTGCTGCTGCTGCTGCTGCTGCTGCTCAAAGCTATTTCGCATTTCGCAAGATCTGTCTAGCGTCTCCGCCTTTTTTTGCTCTCGCGTCTTCTACCGGCAAAAACTGAATTCCTTTGACCGACTTGATAGCGGTACAAGTCGGATGGCAGCCAGGTCTGGCGAATAAGATGGATGCTCGAGAAGGGTAAGGTTTTTGTAAAATTCCGCGTTTCGCGGAAAAAAACGAGGTTTTCGTCGGCAAACGCTTGATCATATCCGATTGACGGTAGGAACATATCTGTATTTGAATACGTGCCCATTTATGTCAAATGAAGCGATCGATCTGAACATTGTTATATTTAATATGATAATGTTGACACATTAGGATACGTTATCTGTCTGTTTGTCTTCGATTTCAATTTTCCTAATATATATAATAGAGTCAAATCTTCCTTTTTACGTAGGATCTTACATAGGAAAATTCCGATATAATTCCGATATAATTTGTTCGAAAGTTACGCTGAAAAAAAATGTGAAGATAATATGAAAGAATAATTTGGCAAATATCTGATATCTAAAAATTATTTAGCTGGATATAGATTTAATAATTTTGTTGGGTCGTGAAAGTAATTATGCAAAATGCTTAAATATGATGATTACACTTACAAAAATTTTAATATTTTAGCAATCAATTTGAATGTCCTATATAAACATTTTGATAGTCCAAAATTATTTTCAGATCGATCATATTTGGTCAAATTTTCTTTTTGCGTATCTGTTGGATGAGAAATGCTAATAAATGCTAAAACGAAAATTTTTGAAGAAAATTTTGCATATTCGAAAGTTATAGAATCGCGATAAAAACAGGTTTTTTTTTTTTTTAAAAGATCGAGTTTTAATTTATGCTACCACCATGACAGAATGTTTCTTTTCCTTTCTCTTTTTTTCAAGTATTATAAATGTTTCTGCCGTAGTTAACTTTCCTTTTTCGAAAGAATAGAAGTGATGGAGAAGCGTTTGTAATAATAATCGACTATAGATACAACGTCACAAAAGACGGCGAGACTTTTTTTGCGCAATCCGCATGTATTTTAGTTCGCCGCAGGATATAAAAGTCACCTACACGAGTCTCTCGCGGTCGATGAATAAACCTCGTGACATCATCGTGCAAAGTGCCGCGATAATTTGCCCCGATAAACCACAACAAAGTGCCGTCGATTTTTTTTTTTTCTCTCTACTTCCACTCGTGCTCTCGCATTAATTCCGCTTTTCTCCCTCTGGCCCTTATCCTTCAACGCTCCGCGACGGTTTCGCGGAATTTATTTCCGCTCGATTGCAGGCCGAGGAGCAACATCATCGCCGTCATTGCGAAGCCGTTCAAGACGAGGAGGACAAGAAAGCGGAAATCTATAATCACGTGACTGGAGATTTCCTCACCGAAGCTAGAGAACAGGCTGAGAGCACCCGCGGTCCGTACAAGCCGCTGGTGAACCGATACAAGGGCATGACTGCGGACGAGTTAAAGGTCTTCAGGGATGCTCAATTGCAACAAATAGAAGAGATCCGAGTTAGTATAAGAGGAAAAATTGCGTTATATCAATTGCATCATCGATAATCTCGTAGACCTAATTATTTTTAATTAATCTAATTCTCAAATTATTAATTTTATCATTACTTTAGTTCTTTTATACACAACTATCATAATTTAAAAATTTTCAATACAACATGTCATTCTATTTCTATACTTTTTTATTTATAATGACAAATTTATTATCTGTTTTTTAACTTATCCCGATACATAAAATGTTGCTTTAAAATTAAAGCAACATAAAACGAATCTCGTTTTTTAATGAATTGTGAGAGGACAAGCATTTTTTTTGCACAAGTAAAAATTTTGTGAATCGGATATATAATTATCCCGTAACAATGCATGCAACAATTTTGAATGAATTTTGAAAGCTAAATGCATCATAAGATGACCTCATGGTAGATTCATAATGACATATTATTAATATATTTGGAAAAAAAGTTTTCGAGTTGATGCAGCATAGTTGAAGTGCTCGATACTAATAAACCATCCAAAAAACTGTCAAGCATAAAAATACAAACAAGTTCTTGTTCAAATTGTTTTTCTAGAATATCAAACTGGAAGAGAAACGCATCAACGAGAATTGGGATCACTTAATGAACTTGCACAATCAAACTGCATACTCATATGAGCGCGAATTAAATCAAAGAAAATCGTAAGATTTTGAAGCTAACTTTATACATAATATATTTATACATAATTATACTTTTCTTTTATTATTAAAAAAATATTTAAATAATTTTTTAATGATATTTTTAATATATTTAAAATAAAATTTAAAATAAAATTATGATTTGTCAAACTTGTTTGAAAACTCGCTAATGGAAGTTTTATATTTAAATGTGTAAACAATACTTTAAGTGTTACATAATTTTCTAGTGAACTCAACAAGAAAATTGCAGAAGAAAATTTGCGGCTTGCCGAGCAACAGAAACAGCATCAGGAATACCTGAACCAGGTCGTTTATAAGAATCAGCCGACTGCCGCCTTCTATGAGCAATTTAACAGAGCGACGCGTTGATCGCAATCAATTTTTATACATAATGTACTTTTTAAAGGAATTCCGAATAAATAAAAAATAATTTTACATTAATCGATACACAAATAATCTGCTATATAATAAAGTTAATGTAACGAATATTCAATATCTATGAAAAATTAATTAATTTGATGGTTTTGGTAATTATAATTAAGCCAACATATTTTTCAATTATTAAAGCTGAATTTATCATATTAAATTATTGACATTATCTAATGTCGATAACGTAAAAATTTGCTGTATTGATAGTTTGCTTTCATGTGTAATGTCGATAAAATTTGCAACCATTGATAAATTATCGCAGTCGGTAAACAAATTTGATACTCCAGAGGTATTGAATTCATTCGATATTGAATTTATGATATTACAATGGTATTCATAATATTTTTCGTTCTAGTTGGATATAAAAATACACAAAACTGATAAATCGAAACTTAAAGGATAAAATGTCTGATATATATTTCATTTGAATCATCTTAGTAGAACAGGACTGCGCCATATTGCGCGATACGTTTTCGCTTGTTAAATTGTCCAGTAGAGCTTAATATCACAGACGCAGTATTTATATATTCATGTTTATCTTCTTTAAAGTAGAAAACTTATCCATTATTCCTGACAAAAATATTTTATGCTAAAATTCTCTCTCAACTGACATCATTTTATTATTTAAAAAAATTTTGTATTACTTTTCAATGGTATAACTTTCCTTATATTTCACAATATTATATTAAATTTTATAAAGAAAGTTAAGATTTATTTTGAAAAATATTTAGTGATTTTTTTTAATAACTTTCATTTTCACTTTTCATCAATTTTATAATACTATTATACTTGTCTTTACGAAATTCAATGTAATAAAGAAAGTTAAAGAATGTTGTTGAAATTTTTGTTAAAAACTGTATATACATTACGAAATAATAATGAAATAGGATCAATTTAAAAAGAATTTCAGCAAAATATTTCCATCGGGGATGTATCTTAAATTATTCCTTGATTGTAACTTGCGCTAAATTATTTCGATCCAATGTTCTCAGAAAATCATGTAACTTAAAGTTTATGTATTTATGTAATTATTATACGTTATTATAATTACGCCATTATAACTATAGTTATCGACATAATATCTTATATATCAAAGTACTTTGCCATATAAACTTTATAAGTTATAAGTTATAAACTTTATAATCTTATAAAGTTTTGTAAATATAAAACAATAAACGAAACAAAATAATTATTATTAGCTTGAATATCTATTAGAATTGAATGAGTGGCATCCGATTACGCACATTGTTGATTAGCATCTGATTATACATTGTTAATTGATCGATTAAATGTTAGCTTTTAAACATTTTAAATAAAAAGATTAAACATTTTAGTGAACTCTAATAGATAGTTCACTAAACTAAAAAAATCGCTAAGCACTGGCCGATGTGAATGGATGTGTCCAATTGTCAAATGAAATGATCCCGAATTAAATGGATTTTAAATTTTCATTATTCTCGTAAAAAAAATATATATAAAGTAATCTATCAGAGAAAATATTGTAACAGGACGGATTAAAAAATATATAAAATAATGTATTTTCTTATTCGTCGTAATCCGTAATTTTCTTTATCCTTCTCTCCTCTTTCCCTGTCCCCTAAAAAATGCATCAAACAGTTCATTTATTATCAGATGGGCGGAGCGCCATGGCCAAAACTTGCTGCATCTGTATTCTAACGTCCAGCTTCTTCTCTTCTGGTACTTGTCTGATAATCGGCAGCAAGGAAAGAAGGAACATTTTATCGTAGTCATCCTCATCGAGGGTAACGCGTTGGCTGCTGTGCGAAGAAAGGATGTCGTGTATCTCGTTGTCGAAGGGCGTGAAAGACGTCTCGCAGAGCTGTTTCGGATAACGCGGACACACCTTATACGAGGGAGTGCCCGCTTGAAGATACTCTCGGTTACTCGTTATAGAAACACCACTGTGAGCAAGGGGATCGTACTCCTCAATCACGGGATTATCTACTTCACCCTCACTTTCCTCCGATTTGCAAGGAACAATAGGAATCGCGGAACCCCTAAAAGAAAGCCGAACTTAGGTAAACTTAGGTCTTATCGTCGATCTTCCGTTGCTTCTAACGACATCTGATACCTCTTGTTCTCCACAGTCGGCATGAGGAACAATAATCGATCAAAGTACATATACTTTTTTCGCTTTCGTCCGGCAGGCCCGGACTGGTGCGACTTTTGAAGCTTGAGTTCTTTCATGAAATAATCCCGTATGTTTCTCCATTTTCCGCGCAGATTTTTCTCTACAAAAATTAACGCAAGCCAACAATTATAACGTAATTTTAATGTCCGTTCCGAAAGAATGTTTCGAAATGTAAGACATCATAAAGTAATAAAGTATAATAAATCACAATTTTCAGAAAATCATAACGCGTTAAAAAAAAATTCTTTCGTATCTTTAAAATACAAATTATTCTATTAAAACATATTCAATATGTCTTGATCTAATTGATTGTAATAATGAAATTTATTTTTCTTTCTAGTACCTCGCTGAAGCTCAAGACTATAGCGAGAAGATATCAGAACACGTTCTGAACTTTTTCTACATCTTCAACAATAACAACTGAATAATAAAGAATATCATTTGCTCAACGTGCTCGATTGAACGTGTGTGAAAAATATCGATTCGCGACAATTCTCAAGTCTCTCCGGATTTCCGCTTCTGTGCTCGACGAGAGCAACGTAGTCGAAGGAATCCGGATCGATCAATCCTGCGGCGGCCTGCGTGCTATATACCTTCCACGTTTCTCTCCTCGTCCGTCAAGTGCGCCCAATTCGGTACCATCACCTGGCAGACCTCGTCCCACGCGGTCATCTTGGCGTTACGGTCGTTGTACTCGCCGCGACTCACATCGTAGATCGCCGGCCGCCTCTCTATCTCCTCGATGAACCTTTCCGTGTCGAACATGCTCATAGAGTCTCCAGAAATTTTTTTCCTCCTTTCCTTTGACTCTATTCACTCGGTTGTGCTTTCGCTTCGCCACTCGATCCCGCGACCTCGTGATGAAAACGATATTTTCCCCAAAATTTCTTCGCGATCCCGAAATTTGTTCGACAAATTCGTTAAGAGCTCGCTTGACGAATGGCGAGAAACTCCTGACGAGTCTCACAGGAGCTGGCGACGGAAAAATCGTTACAAGCGGAAATTGTCTCAAATGAAAAAATTCAAACTTCGAAAAGGATCGAGCGACAGTAATCCAATTGCTGTGTGAAACAGCTTTTCCCATCAGGACCGGTCACCGGTCACCGGTCGATCGCGGTAAACGCGGTACGCGAAAATGATTGAGATCGGCAACGGAAAACCCGCAGCCGCGCTCGTCCAGCACGTTCGTTGTCGTTCGTATGTCGCGTCGTCGGCAGCGGCTTGCGCGTCACTGCGGAGAAACCGTTGCACGGCCAGCACGGCTTTGGTATCATGGCGGCCCGGCGGCAAACGTGCGGTTGCGGTTGCGGAGCGGAATCTGTGCCGCCCGCGACGTTGCCAGACCAACGCCAGTCAGCGAGGCCGCCGAGGGCCACCGCGCGGGTCGAGAGTCGAGAGCGGGCCGAAAGAACGGCGGAATCGCGTCGCCGCGTCAACACGTACACATGCTCGGCCAGGCGTGTAGGAATATTCGCCTGTAGAAACGTATTTAGAGAATTACGTATTTCGGACGCGTCAACACACACTGAGAGAATATTCTTTCTTTTGAATATATTATTTTCACGCATAATTTCTCGCGTCATCTATCAATTCTTCATCATTCTGCCGAATTAAAAATCTAATTTCTCTACGTCATTAAAAGTAACGTACTTTCTAAATAAACTAATATAATTGTAACGTAGGAAATATAATTGATTCTTTAAATATTTATAATTACATAAAGTTTGTATCATACTCAATAATCCAAATTTCTTTTTGTTATGCAACCATATATTTATGTATTTATGTATTATTATATGTAAAACACTTCTTTTTGAATAAATGTTGATAATTATATTCATATTTTTTATTTTCTTTTTGTTTTATTTTGTAATGACTATCACCTGAGCATTTGTAAGACGCAATTCTTTTTTGTGTTGTATGATTTCATGTAAGATAAAGTTTCATGTACATAAGTAAATTTAGATCATTAATAATAATTAAATTCACTTTTAAAAGGCCAGAAGTTTACTTCCCACAGCACCAAATAAAAAAATATTCGTAGAGAAAAGTTACTATTAGGCACAGGGGCGTATTCATGAGAGGGGGGGGGGAGGAGGGCAGTTAGGTTAGTTAGAGGGAGGCCCTCCGAAAAAAGTTAAAGTGATGATTTATGAAACTTATTTATGAATATTTTTCTCATTCAAAATCAAAATCTAGGAGATATTCTAAGCTCTAAGATATCCCAAGATAAAAAATGATTCATTAACAGAAAAAATTGCTTATGTCTTAAATCCTCAGAATTGATGAACTTTCCCCCTTGAAAAAAAGTTTTGGATACGTCCATAATTAGATATACAAAACATAATTATATGACATAAGATAGCCTCAATAAAGTTCTGTTTCATTTTACAAAATAATAATCCGTTAGACGCAAAGCACGTTGCAACTTTCCGTAAAAGTGCGAAACGTGCCGCGTCATATATATACTATGACATGTAAAAAAAAATTCCAATTGTACAGGTAACATGAGTATAAGTGCTTCGCGAATAATAATAGCTAACAAAGTTAGCAAAACGATCTAGTCTTGCAAGTTGAGTGAGCAAACAGTCAGGAAGCGAAATCCGAGACATATTGACATTCGACAAAAAAGAGTTAAAATAGATAGTTTTAAGATTAAGCGAAAACGTTTTCGACACGCGTCGAAATGTCGAAAGTCATTAGATAAATGAAATAAGTAACGATAGAGCGAGTATAAGAGGAAGAGCAGGCAACTTCATCCTAGGAGGGAGTTTCAAAAATAAGAGGCGACGACCACGGAAGATATATTTCGGTGCGACAAGCGGGAGAAAACGAGCGTAAAGATCTCGCATATGCACGGATCGGTGCTGGATCGGTTTGTCGGTCCTTTCGCAAATAACACGGAGAGGAAAGGAGAGGAGAGGAGAACCGGACGAGTATCTTCGTGCCTCGTGAGATGTACCTTTGGAGAATTAAACGTCATCGATGTGTCGGCGAACGTTTCCAGCCGGTTCGTATTCGGAAGGTACGGTACGCGTATACACCCCTCGACGGCAAATGCGGAATTCGCGCCGCCGCGATGTTGCCAAGCCTACAAGTCGTCGGCGTCGGAATTCACGTGTTGCTACGCGACATCGCCGCGCGTCCGACAAGCGTGTGTGCGTGATTACGGCAGCGTCGACGCGTTTCCACCGCACCGTTATCGACCGTGGCGGGCGTTGCGGATCGCGAGCGACGAAATCGACGCCATTGCGATCAGACGTGGCATCGCGAGCCGTGCGTCATACGCCTTCGATACGCCGGTCTCCCTCGCTCCCTATCCGGAAGAGAAAAATTCAACGTGTCAAATTTCATTATTTATCGAATTAAACGAATCATTAATGAACCATCTTTTACCTACGCAACACAGATTTTGCAACTCATTTGCATTTAATATTGCTGCAATATTGTAATGTCGCGACATCGCTGCATGCAGTAAAGCAATATTGCCACAATATTAAAAAACGGAAGGTGCGAGGAATAAATTAACGTTGGGTCGCCAGATGAGTATCTTGATGGCATAACGTGGCATGAATGCAGAGGTTCATCGGAAAGTTGGATGAGTCGATCGGCGGTTTTATGTACGACAAATGGAATTTCCGCACGCACGAATGTATGAATCGAAAAATAAATAATACAGCACGACATGCAGACCCACATGCGTTAGTGGGACTTTGAACGCAATTACGAGAGGATTACAAGGGACTATAAGTGCCCATTAGCCGTTTATTCGAACGTAAGAACGATTCGTCGTGAAGTCGCGCGCATTGATCCACCGACCAATGAGGTGGGAGCATTCGTATCGTCCGATGCGTACCTCACATCACGCATGTCAAGTTCAAGAGGTGTACACCTTTAACTTCATGTCGTTGTTGAACTTGGAATTAGCCCATATATCTGGAAGCGATTAGAGCGGTCGGAAATGGAAGAAAAAGAAAATGGAAGAAAATTATTAATCGAAAGTGAAAAAAATTTTTTGACGTTATTCTCGATTCTCATGATAGTCTTTTTATGAAATCAACTCTCGTATCGCGCGCAAGTATGTATCATAGATAATAACAACCGCGTATCATGATTCAGACGTCAGCATTATTATAAATACAATTGATATCATGTATTATTTTGCATATTTGTTAGGAAAATTTATATTACACGTACGTAATGTTTTTCGTAAACTGAAGGAAGGAACTGCTTATGCAAGCGAACAGTGAAACTCAGTCGTCTTCCTGTAAACAATCGATTTATTAAAAACTAACTTTGAGCTGCTGTATTGTAAGTCCATTAAAAATAATGATACGTAATTTGCGAGATGAGCAATCAATTTCGAACTTGTATAAATTCAAGAAAAGAAATACTATCACGATTCTAAGATCAAGAGTTCGCCGAGAGTTGCCTTTTTTATTCTAGTTATTTATAGAAAGTATATAGATAGTATATAACTTTTAGCTTGGCATATTATATTGTTTACACTTATTTACCATATTATATATTAATTTATATTAAGATATTTAATTTATCTATTCTATAAAAGTATTATAACAATCTTATCACGATCTAATTAATTTGATAAATATTTATATAGGAATCGACGCCGATTTTTTTACTTCGGTGCTTCACACGTGCGAGTATAGGACAAAATCAAAAAACGGCATGTCTCACGCCAGAAGAAGGACGAAAGTCGTGCAAGCAGGATGCAGGATAGCACGATCGCGCCACAGTTGTAGATCCCGGGAAGGGGGAAGCTCCGAGTGGGAGCGAGACGGGGAAGGTTTCGTCCTGTACATTGGAAAAGGGCGGAAGGAGCAAAAGGGAAGAGAAAACGAGAGAATCGCGGAGAGCTGAGGGAGATGGAGCTAATGGGTTAACGAGAGGGGAAAAGGGCGATTCCAAGTTAGGGGGAAGGAGGAAGTGCAGTGAGAGGGAGCACGACCCCCGGTACATCGACAGCGGAACAGGCAAACGACGAATCGCGAGTGGGACGAGGAAAGCGAGATAAAGGTAGAAGGAGAGAGATCGAGAGAGTGAGAAAGAGAAGAGAGGTAACAGTCTGGGGAAGCAGAGTTTTCGTGCTCGATACTCCTCATCCTGACGTTCCCGTTCAGTTCTCGTAACCGCGCCGATCGGCCAGGAGGTGTCCAGTGAACTTCCGTCGACCGACATCCCCGGTGTCGCTACCGATCTCTTCGTCTTCTTCACGCATCGTTTCATCTTCCGGTCGATCATCATGTCGAGCGAATTCCTTGGAAAACGTTACAAGCTTTTCAGCAGCGAGAATTTTGACGAGTTCATGAAGGCGCTCGGTACGTAATCGAATGTTGCTCTCTTGGCACCGCTTGGGTCGTTCAAAGTGCAGAAATGCGGAAATCTTAATTTAGTATGCTCGCGTGAAAAATTAAATCAGCAAATTCAAGAAATAGCACTTCGCCCTCTTATATTCTCGCGGTCGTTAAATTAACACTACTCTACAATTCGAGATTAATTTGATCAAAGTTCGAAGCTCGCGTTGTGTGCCACACGTTGCTGAATCGTGTTCTTAATGTGCTATTCTCAGTGCGTTAAGAAAGAGAATCGGAATCCCACTAATTTTTCCTTTCCATCATTCACGTTTAGCGATTAATTCCTTCTACGGATCTCTTTCGAACGCCAACAACCGGACATGGAATGTTACGCAATATTTAACAAGTGTTGTTGTCCTTTGTTATCTTTGCCCGTATTTCCTGAAGACCTTGGATTATATCACTTGGTATTAAGCACTAACCACAAGCGCTTCATTATGTTACGTTAACTGCGATAAAATTACACAATTCTATTCGTGAGAGAAATCGAATAGAATAAGGAGATAGTAAGGAAATAGTTTTGCATATAACAAGGAATAGAGTGAAACCCATTTTTATTTACTTTACCAACGTAGATTAACCTTTTATCTTTTTTTTTAATATTTAAAAATTAGAAAAAGAAGAATAAATTAATTTACATTGGTAGAAATGAGAGATGCAAGAAAAATAGAAATATGAATTTCAAACAAATCTCTAATATCCATCTCTATCCATATTTATTAATTTCAATCGCGGTATTAATTTACTTTTTGTTTTAATTCTAAGAATCAGAAAAAAAATAAAGACCAAAGTTAAACTGGGATTAAAGTTAATTTACATTGGAAATGAACATAATTCTTAGAACTGAAAGAGAATAAAAAGTTAAATCGAGATTTAACCTACATTAGTAGAAATGCCCGCCTAGTCCACTATTACAGATTATAGGGAGGATAACTGGGAAATCATTAAAGGTCTCGCATAATAAAATAGTGACAATAGAAAGAGGAGAAAAAAGCCTTTCGTGCCGAGTGTATTGGCACCGCGCAGTATAAATTGCGCTTCTGCAGAAAGCGGACGATTATACATATTACTACAGGCTATATTATTATCATGATGGGATCTGTCGTTAGTCCCATCTGTACACGTTCGCGTGGCGAGATCGGCACATCGGCGTATAACAAACGTGCACGTGAACAAACACGCGCACGTGACTAATATGCGCATGAAAAGTTACGGGGTAAACATCAAAGGAGAGTTCTTGGAGAGCACTAATACTCTGCTCATTCACGGAACTTGGATTCAATAAATATAAGAGCTAAATAATAATAGTTTTGACAAATTAGAATCCTCGATAACTCAATGACCTGAGTAATTTCATTACATTTCCATTCGGCTTTGTAAATACGTTCGAAAATATAAACATGATTTGATGTAGGTAGCTTCCGTCTAGCGCGTATCGTCGTAAGCTTAATCGGTTAATTAGCAGCTAAACTCGTTTGTTCATCAGCGAGATATCAATAAAGACCGGGACATTTATCAATTTTAATACGTTAAACTACGCCCCCTCGCCTTCGTGCAATGACCTGACCTCGATCTTAATTCTAATCGTGCACTACGAACTGTCTGATTGCGGTCTAATTTAACACTTGAATTAATTTATCAATGTGATTAATAAATCCCGTAATTGTCGGTCGAATCACGCGAGCGCGTGGTATTCGTGCTTATACAAAATTTGTGATAACTAAGTTATCAATCACATATATGTATTTTTATAAATAACGAAAGTCATGTTAGATTTCTTTTCTAAAAATACCTTTGGACATAAGCACTTTATTTTTATGATCATTAAGGAAAGAAGAACTCTGTTAATTTCAATTGATAAGTTATCTATTTATCTGGTGTGAGGCTTATTGACTTTATGAAAAATTTAGATAACATCGACAATCTCTTTATTTTTCGTTTTATTATCTACAAATGCTACTTTATCAACTGTTATATAATGTTGAATATTCTATGTGGATGTGTGTATGTATATATGTATGTATGTATGTATGTATGTATGTATGTATGTATGATGTATATATATATATATAT